CGGCTGAGACGCGGCGCCGGGTGGGGTCGCCGGGCGGTTCGACTTCCTTCCGCTCCATTGGCATTTCCCATGGAGCCTTCGAGGGGCGTGAATGAAATGAAGTGTGGGAAGTGCGAAAAAGCAATAGAAATAAAAGTAACAAGGATGACATGAAGTCGAGGCTTAGATGACCTCTCCCTCTTCTCTCGCCGTTTTTCTGTCTCCGACCCTTTCCCTCATCAATTTGGTTCCTTCTATGGTGATCGATAAAACGGGAACCGATTCTAGCACCGGCCCTCAGTGTAAACATGAAACAGTATCACGAACACTCAGTCATCCGGTGTTCGTATCATTTGACATTTCCTAGACTGCTCACTGTGGACGCTTAACGCAGGTGTCGTGCTGCTGGGCTCGAAGGTGCGGATTGGATACCTGTCTACAGCGGCATCATTTACATTGGGGCAAAACGCAAGAAACGCACAGAGTAAAAGCTTTTAGGCCATTTGGTTATAGGTTAGTTAGAGAAGGGGCTAGCAGGCGTAGACTGTGGATTTTGTTAATCAGACGAGGCTTGTTATGAGTTAAGGATCTCGAAGGCAGCGCTGGCGTTGAATGCGAAAACTCCGGCGCTTGTTATACTTTTTATAGTTTCCAAGACACCGCAGGAACGCACGACCGTCTTTTTTGTCTGTAGCAACTTATGTGTGGCGCTGCTGGGCATGTGAATAAAGCTCAAGATCCCGACATGGAGGAAAGAAAACGTTAGAAGGAAGCATTGCACAATGCGATGGAAAGAAGGAAAGAAATGAACAAGGACGGAAAGAAAGAGGAAATAAGAAGGGAGAGAAGAGTCAGACAGACAGACAGACAGACAGACAGACAGACAGACAGACAGACAGACAGACAGACAGACAGACAGACAGACAGACAGACAGACAGACAGACAGACAGACAGACAGACAGACAGACAGACAGACAGACAGACAGACAGACAGACAGACAGACAGACAGATAGATAGATAGATAGATAGATAGATAGATAGATAGATAGATAGATAGATAGATAGATAGATAGATAGATAGATAGACAGATAGACAGATAGATAGATAGATAGATAGATAGATAGATAGATAGATAGATAGATAGATAGATAGATAGATAGATAGATAGATAGATAGGATAGATAGATAGATATAGATAGATAGACAGACAGACAGACAGACAGACAGACAGACAGACAGACAGACAGACAGACAGACAGACAGACAGACAGACAGACAGACAGGACGACAGGACAGACAGACAGATAGATAGATAGATAGATAGATAGATAGATAGATAGATAGATAGATAGATAGATAGATAGATAGATAGATAGATAGATAGATAGATAGATAGATAGATAGATAGATAGATAGATAGATAGATAGATAGATAGATAGATAGATAGATAGATAGATAGATTAGCCTTTTTCTTCTCCACATTCTCTCGTCATACAAAGAAAATAACAATTACTTGATGAAAGTTGTTTGGTTTTTATATGCGCTTGAATTGTATAAGCAAAACAATGTTGTTGCCTGTGATGACTTCACGTAAGAAGTTATCTGTCAGTGTCCTGACTCCAGATATTTTCTCTTTTCAGCTTGCTTGGTTTCATAAGTTACTTCATGTGATTTTCTTAATTCCATCCGTGCGCTACATGTGGTAAAGTTGACGGGTCATCATCGTCATGTCTGTCGTCATATTCATACACTTTCTCAATATTGTACCCCGACAATGCCAGATATGTGATACGGGCCAGTCATGTCCGTGGCTAATGATCAAGCATCACCTATACGGTCATGACACCTATTCACTTTCTGAACAGGGAGTACAAGTGATGGAGGGATGTGACGAGGCAATTGCAGCGCTAGCCCAAGTGTTATTTCGCTTAGAATTATCTAATCAAATACTGGCTAGTGGCGGAATCTACGACGATAAGGGCCGGACATCTTGAACATATTGACCTTCTTGGACTCCACCCGTGTATCCCTCCTCGAATTCCTCCGGTTTTTTTCACCGAACAGAGAGTAATGTCTTCTCTCTCGCTCTCTCTTTGAAGCTCTTTTATCTAGATGCGCCTAGAGAGTTCTTGGTGAGAATACCTTGCCGTTGAGGGGCAGAAATCGGAGTTTCTTTTTTGTAAATAACGTTTGACATTTACCGGCCGCGTATGTAATGAATATCGGAATGCATTATGGCACCAGCTCTTAGAACTGGTCTATCATAAATAGCATATCTCTCACTCGCATACCAGTTCCTTCCAATATGCAGAATAAGTGGGGAATGCATATCCCAGATACTTCCAGAAAAAGCACGGGCAAAGATTTATAGAAACCCAAAAAGTATTTTAAAAGGCTGTTTATATACATGAACTGATCAAGCTCAGGGATCACCAAATACTCTGGGCCTGTCACTGACCTCATTCGCAAAATTCCTTTTTGCTTTTTTTCTAATTGTGGCTATCGTAAGACAAAGATTACTCACTTAGGCCCCACACATGCAATTCATTTATCAGCATAAGTTCAGTGCCCTTCCAGAGCAGGTCTTGCGAACGTCAGAGTAAGGCACATATATAGCGTCTGCTGTCAATCGCGTGCTCAGACTCAAACCATGTATATTCACTTGTACACATGTAGTTGCTACGATTCCAAGCATTTCGAAGGAAAATTGCAAGCAGAAAAATCGACGAAGAATGTTATTGCACGGCAAGGCTTCGCATACTTACGACGGACGGTGCTACCCGCCATATTATTTATCAGTAGACCATTACTGTTGGGTGCCACTGCCAGTAAGGCCACCACAGTTACATCGCGTTTCAGCACCAAAACGCGTTTCACGACCCCCACGAGTTCCACACCGAGGTGCGCTATCCACACACAAACACTAGTTTTATAAAATAAAAAATTGGGATGCGATTCATTCAGTTCCAACGGCGAGAAACGCGTCAAAGCGTAAAAGACGGGCGCGACGAAGACGAAAGCCCTGCCCACACGCCCATAGAACATGTTCCACACGTGAGCGTGCTCGTTGCCGACAAAGACCCATTTGCATCATGAATCTCCCTCGCGTTTTACCCATTCGACTACCTCACACTGTCGAGGCTCGCGATAACCACGGTAAATTATGTACGCCCATTGCTTTTCTCTCTCTCTCTTGCGGACAGGACGCAAACTTCACACATCTATGCGTGGCAACGGAACACGACCACCAGAGCTGAGCGAGCAAAAGTGCCAGGAGAGAAATTTTTGCACTAACGGTGTCACCTCCTCATCACTTTATTATTTCTGTAGTGTGCCCTTAAAGTTCGCATGCGAGGCTCTGAAGAAGCTATAGGTTGAATTGTGAACAAATAACATATTTAATATTTTCTTGAAAGAGACGAGAAACCATGGCATGAAAGACAGGTCGCATAGCATATTGTCACGTAATAATGTGACAGAAACCAGTAACACCAGCAGAACGTCATGGTTGGTCCGATCACTGGCAAAGCGAACTCGTCGCCCTCTTTCGCGTGCTAATCTTTATCATCGTTTTTATAACGGCGTTTTTATATAGCGGCTGTTTATAGCGGCATACAAAATTTCACCAGCAACGATACCGCGCAATAAAAGCTATTATGCTCATGGCATTATCTTCTCCCCAGAGAGTGTCGTCCCGATGCGGGTGCGCGATTACGAAAGCACGCACACAGACACACAAGCTCACATGATTGAATGGAGACATAGTGTTCACAAAATCGCGCATAGGTTTAACAGATAGTCAACGTTGATAGAATGGTTTCATCCTGAAAACATCGACGCTGTCTGGCAGCTATGAACGGCTAGATCGACGAGCCGTATATATATATCTTCGGTAAGAGCTTAGTTCATCTCGCTGAGGCGCCGGAGATTTAGTGGTGCAAGTAGCGGTGAAATAACTTTTCAAACGGCCCCGTTGGCGAATTGGGGTTCATAGCTATATTCTTGGTCACCGGGTTGGTAAATAACGTGGCGATGACGAAAATTGTACTGTTGAGAGCCGATGCATTGCTGGTCAGGAATTCTTTCGAGAGCGAGCTTGCAAGCAATGTCCGCGAGTCGGATGAATTCGTTCGTCTTGACAGTATAACGTCGCACCTCGGGTAGGACCGTGACATCCAGCATAGTGGTTGCCTCCTTGCCGTGAAGCAACCGGATTGGTGTGAACCCGGTAGTTTCTTAAGCAGCAGTGTTCTAGGCGAACGGGTGTATGGCAAAACGTCATTTTGATCTTTTGCGGTCTCTATCAACCTACATGCAAAGCATGCCGGTGATCACCTTGTTTAGTCTCTCAGTAATCCCGCCACTTTGTGGGTGATGTAGTAAGTAGTTTTCCTATATATGGACGGTCCTACTTAGCTGCATGATATCCTCCATCATCTGGGTGGTAAAAGCTGTTCCGTAGTCAGTTATTATAACTTCTGGCGCTCCGTGCTCGCGTAGAAAATAAATGCCGAGAATGGCTTTCCGGGATTATTCGCGCAACACGATGAACGAAGTGACGAACGTTCACTCACGGATTTCCAATCCGACAATATTCTTACAGTGAATTGCGAGAATGCAGGCACGTCTCAGCGCTCATGATGCTTTCTATATATGTAGCACTGATCTACGAAAGAAAACTAGTAGTTGGCGAAAAAGCCGGCAAACAACGATTGCACACTATACCATATCTCCTCCCATTCCCTGTTTAAAGAATGGATCGGTAGGCCCGTAAACAATCTTCTCAGTGAATATATATGCTCAGTAACACGTCAACGCGATATGACGAAGACGTCTAAAAGCATTTTTGCACTGATAAATATGCTACCTGTGTTATGCTACCTGTGTTGAGGCATCCAGCTGACTGTAGTCCATTCGCCTGTATGTGTTAAGCAACTTCGAGCACTCGCCCTTAGGCCGAAAAATAAACAAAAATCGAAACAATGCGAAACTTTTTTTAGGAGACACGAAATGAATGTTTGTTGGTCCCTATAGTTTATCAGCATCCCTGGAAGTACGGCAGTCCAGCTTACCTGCAAAAGGGGGAAAAAAGTTATTATAAGCGCGCGTGTCAGATGCTCATAGAAGTCAGCCGCGTCGTACATACAACAATCATATGGGTTAAGCATAAACCCAACTCCTCGGCTCGTCATCACTCAGTAAACCTTGCAGCTGGGCGAGTTGTATTATGTTTCAAGATAAGCTGGTGTGCGCAAATGAAAGACAAAGGACACAGAAAACATGGGACAGACGCTTGTTGGACGAATAGCGCTTGTACCTGTCCCATCTTTTCTGTGTTCTTGCGTTCAATTCGTGCACACCAGTTTATCTTGAAATATGCGCACACCAGTTTATCTCTCGTCGACTCGGAATTGATCGGCCATATTGGTTTACTGAAGCAGGAATAAAACAGTGAGTGAATCGCTATCTCACGAAACACCTAGACAAACGACTCTGAAAGAACAAGCACACTGAACACAAACCACCCTGGGTACAATTGAAAGCACGGGATTAGAAGAAATTCGATCCGGTTCTGCACGTATAATGAAAGCATATACGGTGTTAGCTGACGAACCCCAATGCCATTTTAGTAGTTTCACCTCGAAAACCAAAACATTGTTGCATTGAAGCACAAGGGCTCTTCGCCACTTTTGTAGACGCTCACGCGTGTTGTAGGTAGTTACGCATAGACGTGGGGCAAATACAAATCTCACGTCTTTTTAAAACCGGTCGTTTTTACCTTTCATGCTCACGGGTAAGTGCAAGAAAAACAGTCGTGTCACTCGAGGGCGTTATTATGAACTTCTACCATTATGATTTTCTCGGTGAAATTGAATAAACGTTATTGTGACGTATGAATTACCAGTGTGATCTCTCTGGTAAAGCTATAGACACATTGAGTGACGGGTTCGCATTGTGGCAAATTGGGAGATCTTGTCGGTTGGAAACATACTTGAGTACTTTTCAGTACTCATGTGATGCTTGTATCACTTCAGTTTTTGAATACTATTTTAATACTTACAGCCTAGAGTAATATTTAAATGTTTATGACCACGTAGTATAAGGAATGCCGATGAAACCGCTCATTAATTATCGCATAACCCTATGTCTGATACATTTTTAACGTATCTTCTCTCAAATATTGTTGATATACAAATAAGAACAGCGTAAGTTTTTGCATATAAAAACTGACACATTTATCTGCATCGTTTTTGCCATTAGATCCTTGTTCACTAATGTGACGAAATACTGTTCCTAACTTATGAACGAACTTTACTAAATCCCTGCTCATTTTTTTTTCAAGAACGTTCATGTACAGTTAAAGAATATTTTAGCAGGAACAATGGTCGTTTGAGGTCAAGTTGATTGGGCAATACAATATCAATAGTGGTGAAAAAAGTCGCATTTCAAAGTTGCATGCCATGTTTGCAGTTATTTTCTGCTGTTACTGTAAACAAGGTGTCTAAATGACATTGCGAACAATTTTCTGAATAGGATTGTCCAACTGTCCTAGATATTTGCTTTGCCGCAGTGCGTTGTTGTAATAGGCTGAGCCGGCTGTCAAGGGGGGAAAACCACCACATTGTCAGAGTAAAAAAACAGTGCTACCCAAGTCATCTTCGTAGTTTTACTGACAGAGCTTAAATAAAAGCACGTGTTTGCTTGCCCATTCGTTGAATATTTCAGTTCTGACGTATAAATCCAGGGAAGAATCATTTGCTTCAATTAAAAGCATTAACAAGGACGTAACACCCATGTAGGAATTCATTTACCTCACTATCACAAAAATAATCCTAATCATTATTTTCTTAGTGCTACGATGCAGCCACTCGTGTAAGGTCTGGCACTGTGATAAGAGGACAGACGATGACTTTTCTCCCACAAGCACGTCAGGACAGTGCCCTGTGCCCGGGAAACAGCCAAGACAGTGACAATATTATAACTACAAGATAGAAACAGCCGACGATCGTGAGAGGTTCATTCATAAACTACAAAAATTATCAGCAACAAACAACAATGAACTTAGCGACAAAACCGTCATGCCTACAAATCAAGTTTCACTTATCCCATTTGGAGCAGCCCCCGAAGGAGGCTCCACTCGAAAGCAATTATCAGTGCTGCAACTCGACAATGGGATTGCCGAACATGAAAAACAAACAAGTAAATCCTGCTCGCCTTGCTATTCAGCTTGTTGACTTCACTTATCATCTCGCTATTCCTTGAAATAGCGTCCCCCCCCCCCTCCTCACAATATTCCCCTCCCCACCTGCTCCTTCAGTGGTATACGTATTGTAGCGGCATCGCCAGTACTTGCCGCAGCGGCGCATATGATACGAGCAAACAGAGACGTGTCCCGAAATGATGAAGAAGAGTGAATAAACAAACATCGTTAGAGATGTTTTCGGTGCTCCTTTCACTCCGCCTGCTTTTGTTTGTCTATTTGTTTTTTTTCTGTCTGTCCGTCTCGTCTTTAACTCTATAGGGCACAAACAATTCCGCTCTTTCTTTCTTTTTTTTTTTTGTTGCCTGTGCGGCTGCCTTTGGCAACCACTAAGCAGGTTACGAGGGTGCTGTGTGCATGCTTCCGCAAGGGTGCATTGGAAATAAACGCGACCACTGCGTGGGGTTGTCGTGCGCTTATTCTTCTTATTTCTCCATGTATATCCAATGAAAAGCTGGTGTTACTCCACTTGACAGTGACTTCCTTTTGTTGTCTCTAGTGGACAGAAAAAGGGAGTATTAATTACTGACTGTGACATTATTCGAGACAGTATTAATTACTTACATAAACGAACCGCGAAATATTGTCACATTGAATTGGTCTTGATTGTTTCAAACCTAAGCCTATTATCTGCACAAAGAGGAACATGCCGATCGGAACCCTTATTGAAGCTACTCAATAAGATTTTCAAGTTTAAGCCAGCTGAATTCCTTTGAAGTAAGCTGCATGCAGATGTGTGTGTAGGCGACATTCAGTGATCCAGAAGTATGTCCGTTCTTGGTCTTTTGAAATAGATGTATTTGAGAAAAGATCGGTGCCTATGTGTGACTCCGGCGACAAGTACCTCTTATAAGCGGGACCGTTTCCGTCGCAACATTGTCAACAACCGCAAAACTACCAAATACACACGAGTGAAAATTTATGTATTGGGTCTCACTGCGACGATGCAAGCGTCAGCACGACAGCAATGTTCACGCAGCGTAGCTTGAAATGTTTCCGCGTACCAGAACAATTCCAACAGCCTAAATATTTCCGAAATCAATATTTTTCGCCCTTTATACGGTTAGCGCTTGAGCATGAAGGTATGGTATGTCACTGTTACAACTCAATCACTGCGTTATCGTTAACGAAGAAAATACCAAGTAACCGGGACCAAGTAAGCCGAGAAAGTATATATATATATATATATATATATATATATATATATATATATATATATATATATATATATATATATATATATATTATATATATATATATATATATATATATATATATATATATATATATATATATATATATATATATTTTTTTTTAATTTCAATGTTTGTCACGACGTCTTTATGGCATGTTGTCGCATTAGGCTGTAGTGATAAGAATATAATCGACCATCTAACGTGCTCTGTGGAGAATCTAATTCGCTTTCCACTTGTCTGAAGTGCATACAGCGTACGTAAACAAATGATTTGAAAGCAAGTTATCTGAACCTATTGTCAGGACGGGTGTTCTGAAAGCTTATAGCTGTAGGTGCATGCTCGGGGTTGCAAAATTCCGGGCATTTAAAGTGAATTTCTGTTCTTCAGGATACCTTGGCTTCAGAGCACCCGTTCAGAGCCTATAGAAAAGCTGGTGGGCTGACTAAGACATACTTATGCGTTGCCATTCCATGGTAAGAAATACAAAATAATCATCTACTGCGTTACACCTACATGTCCTAAATGCCTATGGCGTCATTATTTTGTAACCGTTAAAAACAAATGAACTAGTTGGGAGCTATATACTTTCATGCGGGACACACTGCAAGGTTTTGTACGAATGGGAATGGCGCTGGGCCTTTCTAAGCTGAGGTCACCCACGTGTTTTCTTTCCTTTTTTTCATGCGTGCCTAATGAAAGTAAAATTGAAGCGTACCAATTTGTCAACATTTGGACAACAAGGGTGAAGGCAAAAAGCCACAGTTTTTGTCTGCATATAAGTGTTGCCTCCTGTCACGAGCGATATAGTATGACACTCGGTGTGTGCTCGATGAGCCTCGAGTAATAAAGAAGAGAGTCTGGCAGTTCCTTCCTGGTCTCCAACATGTGTGGACGCCATTCTTACTCTTGCCTCAGAACCCAGTATATCCGACGGCCAGAACGGCACGTCACACTTCCGTAATCACGCTTTCGTGTAACCCCGTAAGACGCCAGCCGATGTTTCGTTTGTAGAGCTCCTTAAGGTTAACATCAGTTTCGGCTTTTGGCGTAACAAAACACCTATCTGAGCAGTGTGATGCTACTTTATAATTCCAGTATCGTTCGTTTAATTTATGGTCGCAAATAGACACTCTGCGAAGGCTGATCAAACACATACACCAAAAGGATACCTTAATCTGGGCTCCCAAAGGTGTCTTATGCTAAAAGAAAACGTTCGTAAGAGAGTATCTTAACCAATCTTGATGCGGGACGTACTACTAGAAAAGCCTTCAGTCCGATGGCAAGAAGGGCTCATTAAATATCATAAGTGAGCAGCGCGAAAGACTAAGGAAGAAAAGGCACACATACAACCACATAAGGTGCTGACAGGTTACTTATGCTCATTGCGTTGAAGAATGTAAATAAATATCTGTCTACATATCAACTATTGTCAATAATAACAAGAAAGTGGAAAAAGGAAAAAAGAGAAAAAGGGAGGGCATCATATGGACACTTCAGATGATACAGCCAACAAAAGTGTATGGGTGTTCATTGCACCGCTCAGGTTCGGTCAGTGCCAGCGGCATGTTGTCTTTTCGTCCACATTACTTTCTTCACGTCTTTATGACGACCACTA